AAAAGACCTGGTTGAAGAATTATTATTATTATTATTATTACTATTATACTGAAGAAGTCACAAAGCTGCAAGCTGAAATGAAAGCTTTTCAAAGGCAGGGAACTGTGATACCTGCTGTTCTTCCGATGTATAACATACAAGGATGCAAGGGAGAGGGCGAGCCAGAGGGCCTCCGGGATAGAGTCATAGAATCACACAATTGTACAGCACAAGAGGCCATTCAGTCCATCATGTCTGCGCCGGCCTCTCCTGATCCGGCCTTTCCTGATCACTGAAGTCCCTCATTCCTGATACCATCCTGGTAAATCTCCTTTGCACCCTCCCCAATGCCTTGACATCCTTCTTAAAGTGTGAACACAGTCTCTCGCTGAGGCCTAACCAGTGTTTTATATAAAGGTTCATCATAACTTCCTGACTTTTGTATTCTATGCCCTATTTATAAAGCCCAGTGTCCCGAATGCTTTTTTTTCACAGCTTTATCTATCTGTCCTGTAGATTTACTGATATGAACCCTCAGGTCTCTCTGTTCCTTCACCCCTTTAGGATTGTACCATCAGCTTATATCACCTCTCCTCATTCTTCCTCCCAAAATGCATGACTTTGCATTTCTCACTATTAAACTTCATCTGCCACGTGTCTGCCCGTGTTACCAGTCTGTCTATGGCCACTTGCAGTCGGTTACTATCCTCCTCACTGTTTACTACTTTTCCTAACTTGGTATCATCTGCAAAGTTGGTAATTGATCTCCCTATACCCAAGTCCAGGTCATTTATATAGATCAACAACAGCAGTGGTCCCAATACTGACCCCCGGGGGACACCACTGCACACTTCCCTCCAGTCAGAAAGACAACCGTTCACCACTACTCTCTGCTTTCTGTCTCCCCGCCAGTCCTGTATCCATGTTGTCACTGTCCCTTTAATACCGTGGGCTTCTATTTTGCTTACAAGTCTTTTATGTGGCACTTTATCAAATGCCTTTTGAAAATCCATATAAGCTACATCGACTGCACTACCTTCATCCACCCTCTCTGTTACTTCATCAAAAAACTCTATCAGGTTTGTTAGACATGATTTGCCTTTAACAAATCCGTGTTGGACCATATTTATTAGCCCATATTTATCAAAGTGAAAATGTATTTTGTCCCGGATTATAGTCTCTAGAAGTTTCCCCACTAATGACGTTAAGCTGACTGGTCTGTAGTTCCCAGATTTATCCTTCTGCCCCTTTTTGTACAGGGGAGTGACATTTGCAACCCTCCAGTCCTCTGGCACCGCCCCGGTGTCAAAGGAGCATTGAAAGATTGTGGCCAAAGCCTCCATTATTTCCACCCTTACTTCCCTCACTAACCAGGATCCATCCAGTCCTGACTGGGTGACTTATCTACCTTGAGCACCGACAATCTTTTTAGTACCTCCTCTTAAGTTTATTCTTATCTTATCCAATTTCTCTACCCTCTCCTCCGATACTGTGACATTGGCTGCATCCTCTTCTTTTGTGAAGACAGATTCAAAGTACTCATTCAGTACGTCAGCCGTGCCCTCTGCCTCCACAAGAAGATTTCCTCCTTGGTCCCTAATTGACCCCACCCTACCTTTGACTAACCTTTTATTCTTATATGCTTATAAAGGGTTCCCATCACAGAGAGGATACAGTTCAAGATCCTGGTCCTCACCTCAAAGCCCTCCGTGGTCTTGCTCCCCCCTACCTCTGCGACCTCCTAACCCCTTTACCATCCTGCTCACGCTCTCCGCTCAGCGGGCTCCAGCCTGCTTCCCGTCCCTTGCCTTGCTCGCCCCATTATTGGTGGGTGGGCCTTCTGCCACACTGCCCCCACCCTCTGGAACTCCATCCCACTCACCCCTTCCCTTGCCTCCTTCAACACCCATCTCAAGACCCTCCTCTTCGACCGTGCTTTCGATCTCCCTGCTTCCCCCCCCTCCACCCTCCCCGACCCCGACCCCCAGCTCGGGTCCGTAACTCTGTCTGTCCAGCGCCTTGGGACATCCTCCCGAAGTGAAAGGCGCTTTACAAATGTCATTTTGTTTTGGTTGTTTGATTGATCGCTGGGTTCTCTCGCTTGTGAGGCGAGCGCTCTAACCAATACGCTACAGATTCCGCTCACGTGCAGAAAACACGTATCGTGTTAGGAGTTGAACCCACAACATTCTGACTCAGAGGCAAGAGTGCTGCTAACTGAGCCAGGCTGACAGTTCATGCGGAGAGCGTTCTGAGCTGTGTCGCTGCTGTTGTGCGGCAGGGTGGCGAGAGTGTGACCTTGAGAGCTTTGCCCGTGGAGAGATGAGAAAGCAAGCGCCAGCCCTCTGCTCTCACACAGGCTCCTTGTGAATCAGCTTTGACCTTTGTGTGAGGCAATGAGAGCGGCCTCTTCACATCCGCCACCTCCGTGAAGCACTTCACACCATCACAAGAATAATAATTCTTGCATTTGATTCAGCACCTTATCACATCGTTGAGACATCTCAAAAGCGCTTCACAGAATTTACTGTAAGGTGAATTGACTGTATATTTTATCGACGAAACATGGCAGTCAGGGGCACACAGCAGTGACCGACAAACAGTTGTGGATTGAGTGACCAAATTTTTCTTTAATTGGAGGGATTATTATCCCTGGAAAGCAATGCGCTAATCGACTAACAACTGGGTTCCTACTAACTGCTAGGTGAACAGAAGCGTGTGGGGTAAAGAAATTTGCCTAAGGTTTCGCCCCACCTGGGAATCGAACCCATGTCCTCTCACTTGCGAGGCGAATGCTCTAACCACTAAGCTACAAGAAATAAGTGTAAGCAACCCACCGAAAAAACACAGAGGATAGCGATAAGTTATTAACCTTTTATTAAAGAAAAAAAAATCTTCACAAGAGAATATAATGAATAGATTGAGTCATATACTAAGGCACTTAAGATCTGTGCTCAAGTCAGGAGCCAAGAATTAGTTTATAAGGTAACATAGTCACATAAATACCTATATAACAGGAAAATTGTACAATACTGGAGGCTGACAGGTAACCTGGTTTGTCGCACAAACATCCACAGACGAGTAAATGCAGAGGAATGTGGAAACCTGAAATATATATTTTTCGGAAATACAGTGGAAGCCGCTTAAACCGGACAGATCATGCCCCGCCAGTTTTGTCCGATTTACAGCAACAAATGACATCTACACAGCGCCAGGCACTGGGCAGTCAGGGAGTTAGAACTGAGCTGGGGGTTGGGATCAGGAGGGGCGGAGGGCAGGAAGGGTAGGGGTAGGAGGGAGGTGCCTTCAAAGAAGAGGGTCTTGAGACGTTCCTTGAAGGAGGCAAGGGAGGGAGCGAGGTGAAGGGACTGTGGGCTGGAGGTCCGAAGGCGGGGGTTTGGGCAGGGGATAAATAATCGACATCTGGCTAAAGCGGCTACCACTGTATACAGTAAGACTTTTACATGCCCGCGTGTGTGTGTGCCCGTGGATGATCATGGGTGCGTCCCAAAGCCCAGCCAGTGCTATATTTTATATTTCCAGTTATTTACAACAATTAAAGAGGTGGTGGATGGGGCAGGGGGTGGGGTTGGGGGAAAAAGGGTTGTACAGTATTATGCGGGGGAATTATAGCCACCCTCCCCACCCCTCCCACACACACACACACACAAACACACACTGTGCAATCAACAACCCAATGAGGAATGGTTTGTGAACAGTTTACACTCTGTTCCCACGTGGTTTGCATCTCGTTGGCAGGTGTTTCGTGCACAAAGTCTTTTTAACACCCGGTCATTCCACAAGTGACAGTCGATCAATCGCACTGAAATATCAGATTTACGTTTATCTGATCTGCTTTCTTCCAAAGAGGGAGGGTGCGCGAGGCTGAGAGGGTTATGAACCAGAAGCCTACGCCACACGATTTAATCCTGGCATACTTTTTTTTTTGGATTACAGCGCCTTATCACGTCTGTGAGACGTCTCAAAGCGCTTCACAGAATATACCGTGAAGTGGATTGACTGCGTAATTTGCGGGCCAAACGGTTATCAAAGAAAGTTTTGAGATCGAAAGGTCAGACGGGACCATCTCACTTTGGTTTTTGTCTAAATCATAATTTGGCATCGCTCTTGGTTTGATTCGAGATTTACAATACCCTACGTATAATAATAATAATAATTCTTGTGTTGAACATAGTGCCTTATCAAAGAGCTTCACAGAATACAATGTATAGTGGATTGACTGCATTTGGTGGGGTATCAACCATTTCGCTTCCCTGTTGAACCAGCTCAACTCAGATGCTTGGCTTACCCTCGTTCCCAGCCGAATCCTTATCCCCTCCCCGTGGTCTCTCCCTCTCTCTGACGCTGGAGATATCGCCTAATAAACCACCTCCTTCTTCCCGCCAAACCCCTCCAATGTGGTAACTCTAGGACCAAGTCCTCTCGCCCACCCAGCCCAGTGCAAAGCTTCTCAAACACAGGAGAGAACATATGCGAGCGAGCAAGTGAGCGCCGACACTTAAGTCATCCGCAAAAATATCCATTTAATGCACTAAATTAAGAAAAAGAGAGCGAGGGTAGGAAACAAATCAGCGACGCGCATCCAGAGTGAAGCTGGTGTAACATCAAAGATGCTCCTGGCAAGACATTGAGCCCCACCGCCTCCCCTCCGCCCCCCGAGATTCACTGCCTGTGTGTGTGTGTGTGTGTGTGTGTAAATGTGCATGTGCAAGTGTGTGTGTGCAAGCCTGTGTGAGAATTCCCGGAACATCACTGGGCAGTTGGAGCGTCGGGTGGGATACGTTCCAGCCACTCTTCCAACTCCCTTGGGAGACAGGCGGGAAAAGGCCGGGAGCTCTCCGGGAAAAAAAGCGGGAATCCCGGTTTAGCGCGACTCCCAGTACAAAAGCCCCATCTTGCTTGCTCACACACGCAATCTGCTCGCATTTCCACACAAAAACGCAACGAAAGGCGAAACTAAACTAAACGCCGGCTGTGTTGTTCACGGCCAAAGTGTCGGGTTTTTTTTTTAAAAAAAAGAATCTTTTTATAAAAAAAAAGACTAAAATAGACATTTAAAACAATCTCTTCCCGTCCTCCTGAGGGGAGGATCTCTCTCCCCCAGCCCTCCTCCCTCCCTCCCCCCCTCCCTCTCTCCTTGCTTTGTCGCTTCTCCCGCTGACGTGTTAATTACGTGGCGAGAGGGAGAGCGCAGGGGAGAAACACACGTGCATGCACGGAGCACGCCTTAAATCTGACTTTCGCTCTCTCTCCGAGTGTGTGTCAGCTTTTCATTCCGGTCGTCTTAAATCGCTCCACAATTCTGCGGCGGCCAGACTTTAAGGGCGGTGGAACCTGCAACGAGACGAGGGGAGGGAAATCATCAGAACTGTTCACTCTGGGGGCTTCATAAGAACATCAACAGGAACTTGCATTAATATAGCGCCCCTCGCGCAGGTTAGAGTCCCAGAGCGCTTTACGGGGGAGGAGCATGACACCGAGCCTGGGGGGGAGGGAGAGGTGACCAGTCGAGGAGGAAGGTCTTCAGGCATGATCTGAAGATGCGCGAGGAGGGGGCAAGGCGAATGGATTGAGGGAGAGTGTTCCAGTGTTTCGGGGCGCAGTGGCTGAAAGCACGGCCACCGACGGTGGAACGGAGGGTGCGAGAAACAGTGACTGAGATGGACGGGTTGAGGTTGGCTGTGGCGCTCACCTGGTTAAATGTTTGCTCTCTTCATGGACTTCCATTTCCCGGCTTTTAAACTCATTCAACTCTTTGCGAATCGCAGCCTGGTAGCAACCGAGGGAGAGAGAGAGAGACACACACGTCACACGACTGTACAACACGTTATCCTTTACACAACATTGGAATACAAGCGGGGGTACATAATAACTGGAGTGCTGTAGCATAGTGGTTAGCGCTCTCGTCTCGCAAGCGAGAGAACCTGGGTTCGATTCTCGGGTGTGACAAAACCTGAGGCAAGTTTCCTTACTCCACACACCTCTGTTTACCGAGCAGTAAGTAGGAACCCGGTTGTTAGTCGATTGGTGAATCGCTTTCCGTGGGTAATAATCCTCTTTTCCCCCGCCACCCCCCACAAAATGTTGTCATTTAATCCATGACTGTGTATGGGACACTGCTGTGCGCAATTGGCTGCCATGTTTCGCCCACAAAATACACAGTCAATCTACTTTACAATATATTCTGTAAAGCGCCTTAAGATGTCTCAACAACGGGATAAGGCGCTGTATCAAATACTAGGATTATTATAATAATATTCTGGTCCGTGCTCACCTTGTCCGCTGGCGTGAGCCTGGTCCATGGTTTATCTGCTCTCCTGTCATAATCTTGCACCTCAGTCACCTCCACATACTCGTTAAAGCGAAGGATTCTCCGGGCTTGTAACTCAGCAACTGTGGGCCTCAGACTGAGCTGTGAGAGAGAGAGGGAGACAGAGACAGAGTGTGAGAGAGGCTAGGCTGTGACCATTAACAGATTACAATCATACAACAGCCATCACGTCTGTGCTGGTGCTCGCTCCCCCACTGGAGCTCTCCACTCCAATCCCATTCCCCTGCACTTTCTCCATCGTGTCTGTGCTGCTGCTCACTCCCCCCCACTGGAGCTCTCTGTTCTAAATCCATTCCCCATAATCATGCACATGGATTGGGACATCAACAATTCCCCTTCTCCTCGATCAGATCGGTAATATTGAGGGCTGAAATTATTCCAGTCATTATTCCACGTTAGGGCCCGGTGGAGGGTGGATGGGGAGTGGGATCTGGTGGGAGGGGGCTTGGAAATTTGGAAATGCCGGGATGTGAGACCCTGTACCAGAGTTAAGTCGCAACACAAGTTAAACTGAGCCAGCGATCTTACCTTTCGGATCAGCCTCCTCCTGATCTCCAGTCTCTCCTCATGTTCCTCCTCTTCATTTCGTTCTGTTTAAACAACAGGAAAAGGGAACGTTAACATGTCAGCTGCGAAATCCCTCTGTCAGTACATGTTACACCAAGCATTTCCCCCTCCCCCCTCCCGACTCTCAATCCAGCATTCATGTGATATCTTAATAATAATAATCCTTGCATTTGACATAGTGTCTCATCACATCATTGAGACGTCTCAAAGCCCTTCACAGGATATACTGTAAAGTGGATTGACTGTGCATTTTGTGGGTGAAATGCGGAAGCCAATTGCACACAGCAGTGGATTGAGTGACCAAATGATTATTTTTTAAAATTATTAGAATTTTTTTTTTAAATCAATAGCGATGGTCCCACTCAGCTGAAAATGTGAGATCAAATGGGCTGCGAGGTCTCCTTCATCTGAACCCTCGCCCACCCCCATGAACCCCCCCACCCTTCTCCCCATCTCTTTGGTATCGGCGGGGAAAGGGAAATTTCAAAAAAACAAACTATTGGGATGGAACGAGGGAAGCCGTGAAGGGAAGAGGGTGGGCGGAGGCTGCGAGGGGGTTAAAAGCCGCTGAGGTTTCCAGCTGGCGAGGTACGTCAGGAGGGAACCTCAGTGACGGATGTTTAGAGATCGATACTGCAATCGAGGAAGCTTCATAGGTGGTTCCCACACATAGAGGGGGCGGTGGGGAGAGAGAGACTGAGTGAGAGAGAAAGAGAGAGGGGGGGAGAGCAGGGGGACGTATACACGTATATCAAATGCAAGGAATATTACTGTTATTCCCACTTTCACTTATGTAATAATAATAATAATTCTTGCATTTGTTATAGCGTCATATTACATCGTTGAGACATCTCAAAGCGCTTCTCATAATATATTGTAAAGTGAGTTGACCATATATTGGGCGGAACTCGGCAGCCAAGGGATGGAGAGAGAGAGAGAAAGTGAAGGAGCGAGAGAGAGGGATGGAGGGTGAGAGAGTGAAGGAGGGAGGGAGAAGGGAGTGATGTAGCACTGAGGGTATTAACACTCGAACCCCCCACCCTTCCCTCTGCCACCCCCCCTTTTATCTGCCCCCTCTATTTCTTCAGCCCAGCAATACCCCGAAACATACACCGAGCTGAGGGGTGCACTTAGAAATCAAATTAATTAAATTGCAGCGGGCGGTCGTGGGGTGAGGGAGGGAGGGAGGTGGTGATGGGGGTCTGCACATCACTGAAAAAACATCAGCCAAAGAGGAAATCCCCCCAATCCCAACCCCAACATCAGTTCTGAAGTCCTCAATCTCAGGATACAGTCAATTCACAAAATATACAGTCACTCCACTTTACAGTATATTGTGTGAAGCACTTTTGAGACGTCTCGATGACGTGATAAGGTGCAATATCAAATGCATGTATTAATCTCTCTCCTGCCCCTGTGGGACTGCCCTTCTGCAGAAATGTAATTGCGATGGCAGGTTCTGTTTTTAACTCAGAAAGCTTTGACATTCTTCCTGCTGGTGGTTTAAAACGTCCCTTTTTTCGGAGACTGAAAAAATTAACTCGTTCCCCACCTTCCCACTGCTTGTTATTTTTTCCCCACTCTGGCAAATTCTCCCCCCACCTCCTCACCCCCCCCCCCCCCCCCTCCCCTCCCGCCACCCCACTCCGGCAAAAAGCAAAATGAAAAAATCAAACGAAATTCAATCTGATGGGCTTCCCGCATGATAACGCACAGAAATATTCCCTTGAAATAATCCGACTTGAAATCAGCTGGGTTAAAAATCTGCGTCTCACAGTGAAACCCGTGTGACTATGCAAACAGCTGCTGGAGCTAGAGATATGTAACGACACCTACAATCTGTTCATTCTAATTCCTGCAGAGCACTGTGAACTGGGGGGGGATTCATTTATATTGAGCAGAACACACACAGATGCACTCACTCACTCACTCACTCACACTCAACCACTCAGAGACACACAGATACACTCACATTCACACTCACCCACGGTTGCACACACTCAGAGACACGCTGTCACACTCAAACTCACATAAACACCCACTTGAACACAGACACTCACATAAACACACACACACACACACACGCACAGACAGACAGCCGCACATACACAGACATGCAGAAACACACACTTAAACACACACGCGCGCACACATTCACACTCCGAGACACACGGTGACAAGCGGCAGTGTGAGCGATGCTCCCGGTTACAGTATAAGCCGCCGGGATGCGAATGGTATCTCCTGCAGGGACCCCCACATACATCACACTGACCGGCGAGAACCCCTGCTCAGCCCGGGGCTGTGGTGGGTGAGCGGCGAGCAATGCACGGAGGGTTTGTGTGACGTCTGTGGGGGGATTCCTGCAGGAAAGCTCATTCCCTGGGTGATTCCCTGTTGTCAGGGTGATTTACACTGCGGTAACCCTTCTCAGCACTTTGCATTCCTCACACTACCTACACTCATACTTAAACACACACACTTATACAACACACGCACTGACTGACACACACATCACAAACATGTGAATGTATGTTAAACACACATCATATATGCACATCATGTACATTTATACAGACGGACATCCACCCACACACAGACATATTTATATAAACACATACATCTCATACTGCACACCCACACATCCATAAACCATATATTCACAGCATATATATCTACACATATATATATTATAGATACACATTCATATATATTCATACACACGGACGTGCACACATGTACATATTCTATAGATACATTCATATATATTTATTACACACACATACAGTAAATTATAACAACTGCAATGTATAAAATCCAAAAGTACTAACGTCTCAAGATATTCCTCTGTTCCAGTTCTTCCAGAGTTGGTCTTTGGCTCAATCTCCTGCCGAATACAATCACAATTGAGTAATGCACCATTTTCCTATTCGGATATAAATTCTCTCTCTCTCTGTATCTTTCTGCGTTCGCTGCTGGTTCGGGTGCAGGAGTCAGTGGCAGAGTCGATGGAGATGCCCTGAAAGCCGTTGTATCTCTCTCTCTCTGCAGAAGAGCTGTGTATGTGTGTATCTGTGAGCGAGTGACAGTGTGTGTGTGTCTCTCTCTGTTGCAGTGATTCATTTGCAGACCTGCCACACAGCATATATACCCTTGTGCTGAGCTCTGACGCTTCCGGAAGGAGAGAGGAGGGGCGGTGGGGGAGAGGGGGAAGGAGAGAGGAGTTAAGGGGAGGTCACAAGCCATTTTTTGGAGGTTTGAAGCTCAATTAAAATTATTATATCCACGTGATTCGCAGGCACGTTTGTGTCAAACTCTGACTCACAAAGGCTGGTGCTTCTATCCGTACAACAAAGCGTTCCTCACTCTAAATACTTGGAAACTTCCCCCCCCCCCCATACCCCCTGAGACATCTCAAAGAGCTTCAACCGGTAATGCCGTCAGGTGTAGTGACTGTTCGATTTGAGGGCAAGTGTGGGCAGCACCTGTTTTGCGCAAGTTTTATAATAATAAATAGCCCTTGCATTTTTAATGTAATAAATAATAATCCTTGCTCTTGATACAGTGTTGTCGAGACATCTCAAAGCGCTTCGCAGCATTTACTGTAAAGTTCAGTGACTATTTTGTGAACGCAGCAGCCAATTTGCGTACAGCAATGTCCCACAAATAGCCATAGAGTGAGTGATCAATTTTATTTGGGGGATTGTTGGCCAGGACACCAGGAGAGAGAAACTCCCATCTCTTTTGGAATAGTGCCATGGGATCCCTAACATCCAACTGAACCGGCAGCAGGACCTGGGTTTAACGTCTCACCCGAAGGACAGCCACCTCTGACATTGCAGCGTCCCCTCCTGCACTGCACTGGATCATCAGTGTAGACAACAGCAGTGAGTTCAAAGTCCCGACGTGGGGTTTGAACCTACAATCTCAAACCCAGCATGGGCGAGGGGGGCATTGTAACCTGGGACCTCCCGGATCAGCAAGACTCAGTCCCACATTCAGCTTTTACAAACCCAGTCTTTGGATGAGGATAATATGTGTGCGTTGGTGTGTGTGGGTGGGGGACAGTAGAGGTGGAGAGGTGACAAGTAAATCTTTACTCTTCCCTCCAGTCTTTGGAGTGTGTAGGGATGGGGGGAAAGAGGAGGGAAGAGGGAACAAGGTTTGAAAGAACGGAGCTATTTTCAAGGGTTAATATGCTTACATCTTTAAAACACCCTCTCCGTTAGGGAGCGTCACAGAATTGCCATCAACACAGATCATGAAGGAAGTCCCCAAGCCTTGGCTCTTGCCAACCTGCGCCTAATACTCTCTGGAATTAAGTAAGCAGGACTTCTCCAGGGAGAGAGTGCGCATTCCATTCCAACAGTCTATCTTTGGGATTTCCATGTGTAGTGGGATACATGGAATTCCCAGTTTGGATTGGATGCTCTTAGGCACAGTGATGGGTTTCCTTCCGCACATGTTCAGACACCCGGCTGACTGAAAAAATAGTTTCCCCTCCGAGATTTCTCTTTTCAAGGTTGAAGAGTCCTAATTTATTAATGATTAATATTTAATAATAGTGCTTGCATTTGACCCAGCGCCTTTCACGTCAAGTCTCGCCTAGTTTTCTCAAACACTCGCCTTGCCAGTCTCCCCAGAATCACATAGTCTAAGCTGACACTCCAAAGCAGTGCGGAGGGTGGGGGGGGAGGGGGGGGTGGAGGTATTACATTGTCGGAGATGTCGTCCTTCGGATTAGACATTAACCCGAGCTCCTGTCTGCCTGTTCAGGTAGATATTAAAAGATCCCATGACACAACTCAAAACATAAAGGAAACGAGTTTCTCCCTCCCGAAGTGCTGGACAACAAACCTCCCAAATAAAATTGGTCACTTACTCACACCATGGCTGTTTATGGGACAATGCTGTGCGCATATTAGCTGCCATATTCGCCCACAAATACACAGTAGTACCCCTAATGCACACTGTGGTCCCCAAAACTTGTCCCCAAAACTTTGGCTGTCACCAACACTCACCCAATAAAACAATGACAAACATTAACAGATTACAATTGTATCGCGCCTTTCACATCGGGAGGCCATTCCAAGGCGCTGCACAGTTAGGGATTTGGATCCGAGCTGGGGGTTGGGATTAGGAGGGGTGGATGGCAGGGAGTTCGGTGATAGGAGAGTGACTGAAGGCACGGTTGAAAGGAGGGTCTCGAGAACATGCCTTGAAGGAGTCAAGGGATGGGGCGAGGCGAAGGGACATTAGGATACTCTCCGGAATTAGGTAAGCAGGTAAGGTAGGCATCCCTCCAAAAAGAGACAGAGGGAAATTTCCAAGTGTGGGTGACATACATTTGGGGAATTCTCAGTTTGGTTTGGATAGTTTTAAGCATGGTGATGGGTTTCCGCATGTGTCAGACACCCGACTGAGCAGAATAGAAAGCTTATGCAGGGGGGGTAAGGGTTAAGGCTGCCAGATTCATTTTCTGCATGGGAAATGATCGCAGGTGAAGTTATTTTTATTTCAAGCACCTGGCACTGGGCAGGGAATCATCCTGCTCCTGTTAACCCTGCAAGCCAAAGCCCTAATAAGTAGGGTGGACTAGCTGGACAAGCAATACAATACTACATTTGTATGGCGCCTTTCACGTCAGGAGGAAGACCTAAGGCACTGGAAAGCAGCGGGGAAGCTTGCCAGACAGTGATATCAATGGCAAGCTATGTGGATTTAGCTGGTTAGACTCCATCAGTTACCCTAACACACGCTCTGGGGTCCCCAAGCCTCGACTCTTGCCAACCTGCGCCTAATACTTTCCGGGATTAGGTAAGCAGGATGAGTCCCTCCAGGGAGAGAGCGCACATTCCATTCTAACAACCTATCTCCGGGATTTCCATGTGTAGGTGGAGTGCATGGAATTCTCAGCTTGGTTTGGTGAACAGAAATACCCATCAGGTACAGTCCCTACCACGCTCATTAAAATGTACATTATCACAGCGCTGGAGGGATGTGGGCGGGTGGGAGATTTCTGCTCTAAACACAGCTCCCAAGTGTCATAACCCGTGGTTACTGTGACAGGATTTCCATTAACACCACAGACACACAGAGAGAATGTTGTTTTAATGAAGTCTATTGAAATTCAGGCACTGAACTCTCTGGCTGGGGTGTGTGGGGGATTGTGTGGTTGGCAGCTGGCTGGTGTTTTGCAGTGTTTCCCCGTTCTGTCCACCCACCCACTCACCCACAGCTCCCTCACCAACCTCACAAACACTGAACCTCAACTCCAATCACACTCACTCACACACACACTGAACCTCAGCTCCCTTCACACACACTCACTCACACACACCCTCAGCTCCCTCGCCAACCTCACACACACACACACAATATACACTGAACCACAGCTCTCTTCACACACAAGTGCACACACCCTCAACTCCCTCAACAACCTTACGTTCACACTGAACCTCAGCTCCCTTCTCTCTCTCTCTCTCATACACACACAGACACACACACACATTGAACCTCAGGTCCTTTCACACACACACACACAGAATACACCCTCAACTCCCTTCCCAGATACACAAACACACACTCACTCACACGCACCCTCAGCTCCCTCGCCAATCACACACACTACACACTGAACTTCAGATCCCTTCACCCACACACACACACTGGACCTCGGGTCCCTTCCCACACACACACACACTCAACTTCTTTCACATACACTCAACACACACCCTCAGCTACTCCCCGGACGCACACTCATACACACTCAATCTCAGCCTCCTTCCGGGACACATTCACACACAATCTTAACTCAATCCCCTCCCTGGGGAAAGCGTGCACTTTCACACAACTTCACAAAACATCACTGTGCGTGTCAGTGTGCGTGTCAGTGTGTCAGGGAGTGTACATGTTTGTGTGTATGCATCAGGGAGTGTGTGTGTTTGTGCGTGTGCAGGTCAGGACGGGCGAGCACGTGCGAGCAAGCGATTGAGAGCGAGAGTCTGTTTCTCATCGCATCACTCACCACGTACATCACCGGCCGCCCACACTGCCCTCCCACTCCCATGACACGTCACTCACAAAGCCACTGTGAGGGCGGAAGCCAGACAAACGCAGCCTGGCTCATCTCCGGGACAACACAGGCTCCACATCATATTCATTAGCACTTATTATTGTGATTATTGTCAATCTTTCCCTCTTAAAAGTCACAGCCAATTCCCACGACACTGGGAGGCAGAGCACGCGTGTGTCTGTGCGTGTGTGTGTGTGTGTCTATGCGTGTCTCTGAGCATCTCTTTGTGTGTGTGTGTGTGTGTCTCTGTGCCTTTCCATGTGTGTGTCTGTGCGTCTCTTTGTCTATGTGTCTGTGTGCATGTGTATGTGTGTCTCTGTGATTGTGTGTGTCTGTGCGTGTGTGTGCTTGAGTTTGCACCTGGACCTTGAGGTGAGGGAGAGGGACAAACAGCAGGGACATGTTCCTGTGCAACTGCGATTGATGAAGTCAAGACAGAGAAGCCAAGGAACACTGACCATGGAAAGTAAACGCTCCACCTTCTCGCCTCCTTTCCCATTTCTCTTCCCCCGCCCCCATCTATCCCTCTTTTTCTCCCCCACTTTTATCTTTCATCGCTCCCTTCTATTTCCCACCTACCCTCTCGTTCCCACCCCCCTCACTTTTTCTTTTCAGTCTCCCCCCTTCCCTCTCTCCTCCATTACCTTTCCCTGGCTCATCTGACCTCTCGCTTTTTTAAACTCTGTTTTGTTCCCTTGCTACGGTTAACACATGCACACATACATACACACACACACATATTATATATATATATAAAAATCTATACTCCTATGCAGTGCTAGGGGTGTGTTTCATTGTCAGAGGTGCCTTCCTTAGATGTTAAACCGGGCTCAACCAACAGCAACCAATTGCACACAGAGATCTTCATCTGCCTGTTCTGGTGGACGTTAAAGATCCCACGGCGCTATTCGAAAAGAAAAGGGAGTTTCTCTCTCCCGGCGTCCTGGCCAACCATCCCCCAAATAAAATTGGTCACTCAATCCATAGCTGTTTGTGGGACACTGCTGTGTGCAAATTGGCTGCCAATTTCAAACACACAAAATACACACAGTCAAAACTTCTTTAGTATATCAGTATATCCTGTGAAGTGCTTTGAGACGTCTCGACCATGTGATAAGGCGCTATATCAAATGCAAGGATTATTACTATTACTATTAATTGAATCCGGGTCCTCTCGCTTGCGAAATGAGTGCTCTAACCACTACACTACACTTGACTGTGTGTTTTCTGAGCAAAATGTGCTTTATTTAACACAAGGAACTCTTTAACACTACCACAAATGCCCTGGCTTCAACCACTCGACTACCCTGCTCCAAACTGTAAACAAATCCTCACTATAAATAAATGCTTCCTAGTCTCCATCCTGTAATTGACCTTCACAACAGTGAGCCTACAACACCTCCAAAGGACAGCACCTCCAACAATGCAGCACACCCCCAGCGCTGCATTGGAACATCAAGTACGGACTATGTGGGACTTGAACCCATAATCTTCTCATTCAGAGGTAAGAGTTTTACCGACTGAGCCAGACTGACACAGGATCTACTAAACTGGCCAAACAGACATGATGAGTTGAAGTCTCCCCATCTTCCTATATTGTCTCTGCACTGACTGCCAACAATCCATTGATTGCTGCAAACCCCCTCCTCCCCCTCCCACCCCCAATAAAATTGGTCATTCACTTTGTGGCTGTTTGAGGGATGTAGGGATTATTACTGTTATTAGTGAGCAGTCAGAGCAGGGAGGCAGAAAGTGAAGTGAATCAACAATGACAATAGAGCCATTTCATACAAAGAAAGTTCTCCAAACACAACAGACACATAACACTTCCTCTTCTACCGTGCCTACGGTCACCACTTTCTCTTTCCAGCTCGGAGGCAAACTCTGCCGATGTTAAGCTCTCTGAGACACTACCCCGCGTGAAGGTAACTGTATAAGTGCAAGTTGTTGTTGTTGGCATGAAGGGCAGCACCAATGCCAATGAAGCCCAATGTAACCAGAGATGACTGTGGTCTGAGCGAGCATTGAGATCACCCAACGTGAGGCATTTCGGGATGTCCCGACGACGTGATGAGCCGCTATATCAAACACAAGCATTATTATTATTATATGATTATCCCACCTACACATGGAAATCCCAGAGATAGATTGGTCCCTCTCCCTAGAGGGACACATCCTGCTTCCCTGGAGAGCATTAGGGTTATTAACAACATGACGCAACTCCAACAGGCTGACGTCGCACTTGGCCAACAGAGGGTGCTGTGATTGTGGTTAGACTGGGTGAGTATTTGACCGACCCAGTGAGCCGAGCTGACACCACAAACACCACCACCAAACAACAGCGTTCCTCTTGTACCACACAACTCGCTGCTGAAAACAGCAGCGAGCGGGATCAGCACAGGGATAACCCTGTTGTGCGTCAGCCTGGCGCAGTGGTGGCTCTCTCGCCTCGGAGTCAGAAGGTTCTGGGTTCAAGCCCCACGTCAGAATCACAGTCGAAGCTGACACTCCAATGCACACTTGGGGTGAGTTGCCTTGTTTGAGGTGCCGTCTTTTCAGGTGGCTGTTAAAGATCCCATGGCACTATTCAAAAAGAGAAGGGAGTTTCTCTCTCCCGGGGTCTGTCCAATGATAATCCTCCAAATAAAATTGGTCATTCACTTCATAGCTGTGTGTGGGATACTGCTGTGCATCGTAAAATACACAGTCAATCCACGTTACGATATATCCCTTCACTTTGAGACATCTCAGCGATGTGATAAGGCGCTATCTCAAATGCAAGGGATATTATTATTATCCCAGGCTTTGATAGCAGCAAAGTCACCCCTGGGTCAGAAAATTGTTGAGGTTATTTTTTCTGGTCACCCGCCTGTCTGACCTATACGGAAACCTATCACATTGTTTAACAGCATTCAAACCAAATCGAGTGCTCCAAGCATCCCATCCACACGTGGAAATTCACGTGTTTGGAATGGAATTAGCAAGCTGTGGGTTCAAGCCCCACTGTCTAGCTTGACGCTCCAGCGCAGTACAGGGGGTGAGGTGGGGGAGAGGAGAGATTACAAAGACTGTCCAGCACGATCCAACCAGTCCGTGCTGGTGTTTGTAATCCACACGAGTCTCCACCCACTCCTTACTCCCTCCCACATCCTGCTATTCCCCTCTCCCTTATGTGAAGGTCCAGCTTCCTCTTGAACGTATCTGCACTATATGTTTCAACCACCACTTCAGAAAACGAGTTCCGCAATCTCACTCCCCTCTATGTGAAGCAGTTCCTCCTAAATTCTCTATTAAGTTCTCTATAAAGTTCCTCCTAAGTTCTCATCCGGAACTCTGCCGCCCGCATTCTTACCCACACCAAACTCCGCTCCCCGAGTACCACAGTCCTGGCCAGACTGCACTGGCTGACTATCCCAGAGAGGATCGACTTCAAGATCCTCACTCTTGTCTTCAAATCCCTCCACTCCTCTGCACCCCCCCGACCTCTCTGACATCCTCTCTCCTCACAACAGTGCCCGTTGCCTTCGCTCCACTGGGTCTGGCCTCCTCCTTGTCCCCCGAATCCTCCACTCCACCATTGGTTGCCGTACCTTCAGCTACTACACCCCGAAGCTCTGGAACTCCCTTCCTCACTCCTTTCACCTCACCCCTCTCTTCCTATTTTCAGGTCTTGGCTGAAGACCTTTCTTTTCTACCGCTATTTAGTCACCTTCTTCCCCCTCCCCCTGGCTCGGCCCCGGGATCCGTTACTGTGAAGCTCTGAGATGCCGTCCGATGTGGAGGGGGCTATATAAATCCAAGCTGTTGTTGTATTAGATCCCCCTAGTTGCTATCTTATCACTGCTTTGTCGGAGGTTCCATCTTTCGTATGAGTTGCCAACCTATGGCACACCGGCCGGAAGTGGCCCCCGAACATTCACACCACTCCAGGTAAGTCCGTGTTTGATTGGCAATGTGTATTCTATTTTTTCTCGATTTAATATTGCTCAATTTATGGCATGAATCAAGGAATATTCAATGAAAATCTTGTATCTTGTTGTGCCGACCATAAAGATTGGCCACCACTGGTCTTAAACTGAAGATCAATCTGCCTGTTCGGATAGACTTTAAAAGATCCCGTGACACTGTTAGAAAAGAGAAGGGAGTTTCTCCCGTTGCCCGAGCAAACAGTCCTCCAACAACAACAACTACAAACTGCATTTATACAGTGCCTTACGTCCCAAGTCACTGGACAATGAGGGTTGGCACCCGAGCTGTGGGTTGGGATCAAAAAGGGGTGAAGGGCAGGGGTGGGGGAGTAAAGGCTGGACTGCTTGTCAGACTTGATGTGCAAAATAATCAAAACGGCGTCCGTTTTCGGCCACAAAATACAGTCAATCCACTTTTTACAGTATATCCTCTGAAGCGCTTTGAGGCGTCGTGACGACATGATAAGGCAAGGCTGATTATTGTTATTATTAGTAATAATAAAAATGCAGCTTGCTCTGAGAGGAGACTTGGACCCGATGGAAGGATTAACCCCTCCCTGCCCCCAGCCCAGCCAGTACCTGATGAGCTTGGTGCCAATCTGCTGCCTCAGCTCCAGTCTCTCCTCATCTGAGGACCGAGGTATGATGTTCTTCTCCTCCAGTTCCCTCTTTGTCGGCCGGTTGCGGAGTTTGAGGGCGAGCGTGTCTCTCCGTCGGATCTTGTTGGCGAGCGAGCCTGCCGGGAAAGGTCACTCAGGGTTACCAGGGGAGGCAAGAGTCCCCAAACACACAAAGACGCCAAGAGAGTTAAGTGGAGCCCCATAGCATAGTGGTTAGAGAACTCGCCTCACAAGCAAGAGGACCTGGGTTCAGGTCCCGGGCAGGGCAAAACATTATGGAAGGGCTTTGCCGCCTCCTACATCTCTGATCTGCTGACCTCCAATCAACCAGTCCGCTCCCTCCGCTCAGCAGGCTCGGGCTTGCTCCATGTCTCCCGCCCGACCACCCCCACCTTACCATCGCCAGCCGGGCTTTCAACCTCTCTGCCCCCACTCTTTGGAACTCCATCCCATAATCTCTTCGCCTTGTTCCCTCTCTTGCCTTCTTCAAGGCACGACTCAAGACGCTCCTTTTTGATTGTGCCTTCAGCCGCTCTCTGACCCCTTCTGTCCTCCCTCCCCAACCCTGACCCCCCACACGCTCGGGTCTGATCCCTGACTCTTCAGCGCCTTGGGGCATCCTCCTGACATGAAAGTTGCTTTACAAATGTCATTTTGTTGTTGTATGTGCATGTCTGTTCGTGTATGTGTATACGTGTGTGTAAATGTGGAATCTTACTGTTTAAACACTCATCGTCCTCCTCATCCTCGGGCTCATCTCTGTACAGCACCGGGCCCTCGGAGTCAGAGTCACTGCTGACGCTCTCGGGATATTCAGCGGGAGGGATGATGGCGACGGGCGTGGAATCATCAATCAGCACCCGGCTCTCCTGCCTCCCCTCTCCGTGCTCGTTCGTCACGTTGCTTTGGTCAGAAGTGCTGCCCACAACAAGGCCCAAGTGAGATCATTGACCAGTGCTGGTCACTATCACCATGTATAGTCACTACAGAACACTGAGGCCATTCACCCCATCATGTCTGTGCTGGTGCTCACTCCCTCACTGGAGCTCTCTACTCTAATCCCATTCTCTTGCTCTTTCTCCCATCACCGTGCTTAAGAGTATCCAAACCGAGCTGTGAATTCCACGCCTCCCACCTACACATGGAAATCCCAGACATAGATTGTTGGAATGGAATGTGCACTCTCTCCCTGGAGGGATGCCTGCTGCTGACCTAACTCCAGAGAGTATTAGGTGCAAGTTGGCAAGAGCCGAGACTTGGGGATCCCAGAGTGTGCATTGGAGTAAGTGCTGGAGTCTAACCAGCTAAAACCACATAGCTTGCCATTGATAGCACTGCCTGGCAATCTTTCCCGCTGTTTGTCCAGCTAGGACCACCCTACCTGTAAGGGCTTTGGTTGCAGGGTTAATGCTAACTGAGTGGGAGGATTCCCTGCCCCCAGTGACTGGTCTGCCCTTCCACGTCCTGCTAACGTGCTGTCATCAGCAGTGCCCTGGAGTACTGTGGACCCGACTGGCTCAGGATGTCACCTTGGAGCCAATTCCACTCCAAGGAGACACCACTTACCACCACCCCCAGGAAGATAGTCACCAGTTGGTTCCAATATCCAACAAGGGTGGGGTTGAGCCCTCACTTGGTGGATGGCAGGTATCAAGAACTCCCTCCAAGCTTCCCGGTAGGCAACACAACTCAGCACGAACATGTGTGAGAGCATTGCCACTGTCTTCCTGTCCACAGGTCAGGTATACTTGAACCCACAACACTTGACCAAGAGGTGAGGTTCCCACCCATTGAGTCACACGTACCATTTTAGTGTTTCTCCAGTTTCTTGTTGAGAATGTTCCAGGCTCCCGGCGGATCGCTCCATCTCTCCCGTTTCTGGCTCAGGCTTGACGGGTCGGACGGGATCAGGAATGGGAGCATCCCGAGGAAAGTGCTGTCCTTGGTCAGAGGAGGCAGGAAGTCGCATGGCTTCCCAGTCACAAACACAAACGTTCCCGGGAATTCCACGGGCGGGTTTTCTCATCTGCCCGGGTTTCTCCGGCTGAGGTTCGGACGGTTCAGCAGAACCCAGCCTAGTCGGGAGTGAAGTTCGGGTAGGAGATTCCGAGTGGTCCTCGGGTTTGCTGGGAATGTCAGGCAGCCCAGGGGGAGATGATGTGTCCTGGATGTCCTTACAGTGTCCCTCTGAAGGAGGTTGAGACGGAGTCAATGAAGGAGGGAATGAATCACCTGTCATCTCCGGCTCGGCAGAGTGATCTGAAATCAGAGAAGAATGGCTTAAATAACGATAATAATAATCCTTGCATTACGTCTGAAGAACTTCGCAGGATATACTGTAAAGTGAATTGACTGTGTATTTGTGGGTGAAATGCAATAGCCAACGCTGAGCCCGGGTGAGGAAGTGGGAGGTGACCGTAGGGGTGATCGAAGAGAAATCTTCACGTGAGATCTGAAGATGAGTAAAGAGGGGGTGAGGCAGAGGGATTGAGGCAGGAAGATCTGGAGGTAATGGCTGAGAGCATGGTCACCGATGATGTTATAAAGAAGGTTGCTCCATCGGTCGCTCTGTATTGCTCTGTGATGAATACCTGCCACCTGTGTTAGGGTGGGCACAGTCTGCTCAGCCAAACAACCAGTGTCTGGGGTCGTCGGGTGCTCCTTGGTCACCGTCTCGATATTGATGGGTGAAGGGAGGCCATTCTTTGTCCCCGCCCTGTGCCCCTCTCCATCTGACAACAAAACACAAACATTCAAGGGGTTACTTTGGGGCAGCCATGATCTGGTGTCCATGTACGAACCAAACTCATCAACATCAACACCAACAACTTGCATTTGTATGGGAGTTTGTCCCAAGGCACTGGACAATCCAGTGTTTGCAACCAAGCTTCGGGTTGGTGTCGAGAGGAGGATAAGGATGATGGCCGAAGCAGTGGTCAAAGAGGAAAGTCTTGTAACGGGCTTTGAAGTAGGCGAGGGAGGGGACAAGGGGCTCCAGGATGGAGTCCCAGAGGGTGGGCGGGCAGAAAGGTTAATGGCCTGACCTTCGATAGTGGAGTAGGCCAGCCCTGCAGATTGGAGGGAGCAGACAGGTTGGTAAAGTTTCAGTATGTTACAGAGGTAGGGAGGGACAAGACTGTGGAGGGCTTTCAAAGTGAGGACAAGGATTTTAAATTCGATCCTCTGGGCGGTGGGGAGCCAGTGAATCCGGGCGAGGATGGGGCTGATCGGCTAATGGAATATCTCAAAGAGCTTCACACAATAAACAATTACATTAATTTAGCGCCTACCACATCAGGGGGACAATCCCAAGGCTCACAGTGAGTTAGGTTGAAGTGCAGTGTCCATTATTAGTTCATTACTTGGAAGAGCAATTTGAAAATATTCCAAGAAAGAACAAGGAATAAAACCTTATTCATCAAATATTTGTTTATTCAATACCTTGACCGGCTCAAACTGTGACCTTCAGAGGCAGCTCATTTAATGTCTGCAACCTTTGCTTCAAGACTTTCTCATCCCTACTCTGCACTGGCCCTCCCTTCTGGAGATTAGTGTGGCATGAGTACCAGCACAGACACGATGGGGGAAAGAGCAGGCAAATGGGATCAGAGTAGAGATCTCCAGTGGGGAAGTGAGCTCCAGCACAGATACAATGGGGGAAAGAGCAGACATAGAATCATACAGCACAGAAAGAGGCCATTCGGCCCATCGTCTGCGCCAGCTCTGAAAAAAGCAATCCAACTCAATCCCTCTGGCCCGCTTTCTCTCCATAACCCGGCAATCTTGTCCTCCTCAAATACCCATCTAAAAAAGTTGTTATTGAATCGGCTTCCACTACCCTTTCAGGTAATGCATTCCAGATCCGAACAACGCTCTGGGTGAAAAAAAAATTCCTAACCTCCCCTCGGTTTCTTTTAACAACTATCTTATTATTATTAAATCGATGTCCTCGGGCTGCTGACCCACCTGCCAGTGGAAGCAGTTATTCCCAGTTTCCTCTCATGATCTTGAAAACCTCTATTAGATCCCCTCTTAATCTTCTCTGCTCCAGGGAGAATAATCCTAGTTTCGCTAAACCTCTCCTCATAACTAAGGTCCTTCATTCCTGGTAAACCTCATTTGCACTCTCTCCAATGCCCAAACATCTTTCCTTAATGCAGTGCCCAGAACTGAATGCAGTCTCCAACTGAGGCCCAACCAGCATTTTATAAATATTCAACATAACCTCCTGACTTTTGAATTCTATGCCTCTATTTATAAAACCTAGTATCCCGTATGCTTTTTTTTAAAAAAAACATCTTTATCTACGTGTCCTGCCGCCTTCAGAAATTTGCTTATGTGGACTCCCAGGTCTCTCTGTTCATTTGCCCACTTTAAGATTGTACCATCAGCTAATACTGCCTCTCCTCATTCTTTCTTCCAAAATGCAACACTTTGCAGTTCTCCACATTAAACCTCATCTGCACATTTCTGCCCATTTTACCAATCTGTGTAAGTCCTCTTGGAGTCTGGTGCTATCCTCCTCACCATTAACTACTTTTCCCAGCTTAGTAGCATCTGCAAATTTGGAAATTGTGCTCCCTATATCCAGGTCCAGATCATTAATATAGATCAGAAATAGCAGTGGTCCCAATACCGCCCCCTGAGGGACACCACTACACATCTCCCTCCAGTCAGAAAAGCAACCGTTTACTACCACTCTCTGCTTTCTGTTTCTCGCCAGTTCTGGATCCATGTTGCCCCAGTCCCTTTAATACCGTGGGCTTCTCTCTTGTTTAAGAATCTCTTATGTGGCACTTTGTCAAAAGCCTTTTGAAAATCTACATAAACTACGTCTGCTGCACTACCTTCATCCACCCTCTCAGTCACGTCATCAAAAAATTCTATTAGGTTTGTCAGATACGATCTGCCTTTAAGAAATCCGTGATGACTATCCTTTATCAAACCATATTTTTCTAAGTGAGAATTTATATTGTCCCGGATTATAGTCTCCAGAAGTTTCCCTACTACTGATGTTAGACTGACTGGCCTGTAGTTCTCAGGTTTATCCTTCTGTCCCTTTTTGTACAGGGGTTTGCAACCTTCCAGTCCTCTGGCACCACTCCAGTATCCAAAGAGGATTGAAAGATCGTGACCAGAGCCTGAACATGATGGGGGAAAGAGCAGGCAAATGGGATTAGAGTAGAGGGCTCCAGTGGGGGAGTGAGCACCAGCACAGACCCGTGACCCTGTGCCGTAAACTTAAGTGTGACTGTACGGTCGCATTGCGAGGGATTCGATGGTGTACGCTGTTATGTAGAAGCAAATACAGGCGTTGCTATAGGAACCAGTGAGTCAGCCATGGCCCAACGTTCAGCCGCCTTGAACCCACTCTCCTTCCATTCCACAGGAGCACGGTTTAATGGGGAGAGGGAGCGGTGGGAGGGGGAAGAAAAAGAGGTTTGATATTTTAAAATGACAACAGAAATTGAAAGAGCAAATCTGTGAGTCGGTGATGGAACACAGGTTCTGACGATGGGGGATAATTGATACGTTGCCAGGGTGACTGAAAGCCCAAAAGAAGCCGCTCTCTCTCTCTCTGTAAAGTTCACATGCGGTCGCCTCTTGCAACACCTAGAATAAAAGTAGCTGGATGTTCTTAAGACTGTAATAGGATGAAAGACCCCATTCAGAAACTGCGCTGAGGAGTTTCCAATCCCCTGCGGTATGCAAGATGCGCACGTGTGTTGGAACGTGAGAGGAAAAAAATGTCCCACATACACACGCACCACAGACACACAGAGCACGGGTTCGATTCCCGGGCCGGGTGAAACCTTCGGCAAGTTTCCTTGCTCCACACGTCGGTTTACCCAGCAGTAAGTAGGAACCAATTTGTTAGTCAAGTGGTGGATCACTTTCTGGGGATAGTAATCGACCAAAAAAAAATATGGTCACTCAATCCATGTTTGTGGGCCATTGTTGTGTGCACAATTTACTGCTGCTTTTCTCCCACAAAATACAGTTAATCCACATTCGACCACATGATAAGGCGCTGTATCAAATGCTAGGATTATTATTAAATGCATGGGGAAGAAGAAAGGGGAAATAAAAACCCAGAGAAAAACGAGGCCCTTTGGCCTATTAGCTGTGTGAAATTACCAGTAACTTGGCTCCACAGGAAGAAAAACTCTCACATTCACAGCACGTCAAAACGTCTCAAAAGCACATTCTGAGTAGTTTACTGTCAATTGTAATAACCGTTGCCATTCTCCTCACAGCGAGGTCACTGCTAACAGCCGCAGCCAATTTATCTGACGCACGGCTGCCCAGGACGCTCTCTTCTATTTCTGAAGTGTGCCGTGAAATCATCCTCAATTTTAAAGCCCTCCACAGTTTTGCTCCTCCCTACCTCTGCAACCTCTTAGCACCATACGAACCTGCCCGCTCCCTCCGCTCGGCTGGCACTCGTCTGCTCCATTGATGGGTGGACCTCCTGTCTTTCTGCTCATACCTTCTGGAACTCCATCCCCGAATCCCTCCACCTCCCCCCACTCCTTCAACCCCAGTCTCAAGACCTTCCTCTTTGACCTTGCCTTCAGCCACACTCCCACTCTCACTCCCCCCTACCCTCCACCCATCTTGATTCCAAGCCCCAGCTGGGATGGGAACTCTTAACTGTTCAGTGCCTTGGGACATCCTTACAATGTGAAGGGCGCTGTGTAAATGTCGTTGATGTTGTGGGATACTTAACACCCACCTAGGCAGGCAGACAAACAGGGCCTTGGCTTACAATTTAAGTTTGCGCGGCATGTCGGGAGGATGTCTCAAAGCGCCTTGCGATGCTGGATGTGGGTGGGGAGCGGAAAAGATGACCGAAAGCGCAGTCAAAGTGGTACATTTTGAGACGTGCTTTTTAACCCATAGTTTAATGCCTTGGCTCTTGCCCACCTGTGCCGAACCCTTTCCGGAATTAGGTCAGCAGGAGGCATCCCTCCAGGGAGAGAGAGCGCATTTCATTTCAACACTCTATCTCTGGGATTTCATTCCAACACTCTATCTCTGGGATTTCCATGTGTAGGTGGTGACGCGTGGAATTCTCAGCTCGGTTTGGATACTCTTAAGCACGGCGATGGGTTTCCACACGTGCCAGACACCCGCTGATCCCCGAATAAATAGACAAGAGTCACTCACCCAACGGGACAATTACCCACCTCGTTCACAGCCATCCTTCAACACTCCTTTTCTGATCAGCTCCTCCCGTGTTTGCCTCATCGAGATTTTTCTTTCCAACACTGAGACACAGAGAGCGAGATGTTCAGGTTCTACACAAAGCAGCGCATCAGTACAGCGGTAAGATAATCGGGCTAAGCGTTTGTGGTAGCGTTGAAGCATTCCTCGTGTTAAATAAAGCACATTTTGTTCACAAAACACACAGTCAGGTGTAGTGTAGTGGTTAGAGTACTTGTCTCGCAAGCGTTCGATTCCCAGGTAGGGCGAAATCTTAAGTTTCCTTGCTCCATACGCCTCTGTTTACTTAGCAGTAAGCAGGAACCCAGTTGTTAATCGATTGGCAGATCACTTTCTGGGGATAATAATAATCCCTTTAAATAAATAATAAAATAATATTCATTTGATCACTCGATGCACGACTGTTTGTGGGACACTGCTGTGCGCAATTGGCTGCGCGTTTCGTCTGCAGAATACGGTCAACTTACTTTACTGTATATTGTGTGAAGCGCTCAACAACGTGATAAGGCGCTATATCAATTATAAGGATTATTATTATTATTATGATCAATCGGTGCCAGCAGGTGGCACACTCCTCTCCGGGTAAGCTAATACGTCAAGGGCTTTGGGCCGCCCAGGTGATGTGAAAGGTGCCTTACAGACTTAGACCTTTTACTCATTGCCCTCCTCGCCTCACGCTCTCTGTCTCGCCCCTTCTTTATCTTTCTTCAAATACTTTTTTAAAGATCTATCTCTTCAACCCCGCCAATGATCACCTCCCCCGGCGTCCAGCCCCGCCTCTGTGCAGTGCTCTAAGACGCTATCCTGCGTGAAGGGCGCTGTGTAAATGCAAGTCGTTGCATTCATAGCTGGCGTTTTTTCCTCCTTACAACAACAACTTGCATTTATATAGCGTCCTTCACACGGGGTAACGTCTTGGAACGCTCAACAATGGTGGAGTTTGACACCACGCCAAGGAGAGAAGGGAGGCTCTGGAACTCCATCCCCCAGTGCCTTTGCCGCCTCCTCCCTTTCCTCCTTCAAGGCCGGTCTCAAGAGCTTTCTCTTTGACCGAGCCTTCAGCTCCCCTCTCGACTCTCTATCCCCTCCTCACTCCCTCCCTTCCCTCCCCTCACCCTGACATTTCCCCCCTGCTCGGGTCCCGACCCAAATGTACAGCGCCTTGGGACGTCCTCCCGACGCGAAAGGCGCTCTGTAAATGAAATCTTGTTGCTGTTGTTGAGGTGACCACAGGCAGGGTTTATCCCAATCTCTTGTTCCTACTGTGTACCAGCTCAGCTCGTGTTTATCTATTTCTCTGGACAATGCTGATGACAGATCAGCCAGACTGGCTCATCGGCAGTCAGTCACACCGTCACAGAGACTCTTCCCGCACTGGCTTGCAGGGTTAAGTGGAGCTAACAGGACCGGTCCTAGTTGGGACAATGAAAGGGAAGCTTAGCAGACAGTGCAATCATTGGCAAGCTACTCTGTTTTAGCTGGTTGCACTCCAGTATTCCACTCCAGACACAAACACAGGGAAATCTCCATGTGTAGGTCACGTGTGGAATTCTCAGTCTGGTTTGGATACTCTTAAGCACAGCGATGGGTTTCCGCATGCGTCAGTCACACAACTGACAAAAAAAAAACAATTTTTACTCCCTCACCCTGTCCCAATTGACACAGCTCTGTCAGGCACATTCATCCGTCTTTCAGATGAGACGTTAAACTGAGGGTCCCGTCTGTCTGTTCAGGCGGATGTTAAAAGATCACACAGCGCTCTTTGAAAAGAGAAGGAAGTTTCTCTCCCAGTGTCCTGGCCAACAATGCCCCAGATAAAATTTGTCATTCACCTTCACGGCAGTTTGTGCGACATTGCTGTGTGCATTCAACCGCAAAACACAGTCACTGCACTTTACAATGAACCCTGGGAGTGCTTTGAGAAGGTTCAACGATGCGATCGGGTGCTTTCTCAAATGCAAGGATTATTATTAATTATTACGATAGCAACTGCACTTTACAGTGAATCCTGTGAATCGCTTTGGGACGTCCTGACGTGAAAGGCGCTGTGCTGAATGTAAGAATTATTATTGTTATGATTAATTATATTCTGATAAGCCTCTGGGTGGGGGGGAAAAAAAACTAATTTCCCTTTCACACTCCGAGCTGTAACCTTAAACTGACTTGGGAGTCCTGCTCGGAGCCTTTTTGCTGATATTAATCTTTTGCAGCCAATTCTCTTCTCTTCCTCTCTTCACCCTCCCCCACATTCCCCATGACCAACAATGTAGCAGGATTTCCTGAGCTGCTTAGATTCGACTGATTCTGAAACCAAAAGGCTCCATTTCTGGACCTAACACATTCTTTTGGGGAAATTCCACGCTGGCTCAACAGCTCTCACAACTAAAGGAAGCAAATAACAAATAATAATGATGCTTGTTTTTCGATGCAGTGCCTTCCGCATCAGGAGGACGTCTTAAAGCACTTCACAGTGTATACTATAAAGTGCAGTGACTGCTTTTTTTGTGTGGGTGTTTGAATGCAGCAGCCAATTTGCGCACAGTAATGTCCCACAAACAACTGTAATGATGATAATAATCCTTGCATTTGATACAGCGCTTTTCACATCTTCTCGACGTCTCAAAGCGCTTCACAGAATAGACTGTAAAGTGAATTGACCGTATATTTGTGGGCGAACGCGGCAGCCAATTGCGCACAGCAATGTCCCACAGACAGTCATAGATTGAAAATGACCAATTTATTATAGTTTTTGGTTTTGGAGGGATTATTATTAGGTGTGTGGAGTAAGGAAACTTGCCCAAGGTTTCACCCTCTGCCTGGAATTGAACTCAGGTCTCTCACTTGCAAAGCGAGTGCTCTAACCACTGAGCCCCAGGACTCCACTATGAAGTGAATGACCAAATTTATTTGTCAGCCAGGACACTGGGAGAGAGAAACTCCATTCTCTTTTCGAAAAGCGCCGTGGGATCTTTAACATCCACCTGAACAGGTAGAAGGGACCTTGGTTTAATGTCTCATCTGAAGGATGGCACCTCAGACAATACAGACAACACAGCTTGAACCCGCAACCTTCCGACTCTGAGGTGAGAGTGCCACCGAATGAGCCAGGCTGACACACCAACATAATAATAATAATCCTTGCATTTGATATAGAGCATGATCACATCATTAATATATTATAATCTATACTGATAAAACGGCAATATCTGTTTGGGCTGCAAGAAGGATCTCAATAACCAATTGACATAGAGACATGATTATACCTCAAAGGAAAGGTCTTGCAACTGGGAGTGACACGGGCATATTTGGTTTCAGGTATCTCCTATTGTTCACGAGTTATGACCTAAAATGTATTTCAGTTTTGCGCTTTTCGCTGCAGTTACACATGGTGGCCCCCGAGCCAAAGTGGCTTCCTGCGTCACATAGCCAAGCGACAGCAGGAACAAAATAAAGAACGCAGACAAAGCTAAACCACGGCAACAATAACAACATTACATTTTTAAAGTGCCTTTCACATCGGGAGGACATCCCAGTGATTATAAATTATACAGTTATATTTATCAGTATAAAGATGCCTAAGTGAAAATCAAACCTTTCAAGGATAAGAAACACAGCGAGACAAAAGAGAGAAGGCCCATTAAATGAAACTGAAGAACAAAGAACAGCGCGGCTGCACTTCAATGCTGAAAGGATTGCAATAGTCCAGCAAAATGAGTTGCCCACTCAAAGAACAGCGCGGCCAAAATGAGTCCTCCCACACGAGCCCTCCCAGATGAATATAGGTAAAGATAAAACGTCCGTCTGTGTGTCAATCTACATTCCATATTAGATCTTTTGGTTGCAAGCGAAACTGCAACAGTTACAGCTAGTGTATGTGTGTGTTTATGTGTATATATATATATATCACTCCTTTAGCCAGCTCCTGAGATTCTGGCATCGCTTGACATTGAATGCTTTCCCCAGTCATAGTAATAATCCTTGCATTTGATATAGTGCCTTATCAGGTCTTCGAGACATCTCACAGACTATACTGTAAAGTGAATTTACTTTATATTTTGTGAGCAAAAACGTGGCAGCCAGTGTCCCACAAATAGTCATGGTGTGAGTGACCAAATTATTTATTTATTTGAAAGGATTATTACTCCCGGAAAGCAATCTAACAATCGACAGGCAACCAGGTTACTGCTCACTGCTAGGCAAACAACAGCAGCAAAATTACATTTGTAAAGCAAATTTTACATCAGGAGGATGTCCCAAGGTGCTGAACAGTCAGGGATCAGGACCCAAGCGTGGGAGGGCAGGGTTGGGATGAGGGAGGGCAGAGGGGGTAGGAGGGCAGCTGAAGGCACAGTCGAAAAGGAGGGTCTTCAGTCATGCCTTGACGAAGGCAAGAGAGGGAGCGAAGCGAAGGGATTGTGAAATGGAGTTCCAAAGGGTGGGCACATCGAACGGGAGACATGGAGCAGGCCAGAGGCTGCTGAATGGAGGGAATGGACAGGTTGATAGGGGGGTCAGCAGGTCAGAGATGTAGGAGAGGGCAAGGCTGTGGATGGCCTTGGAAGTGAGGACGAGAATTTTGAATTCTATTCTCTGAGGGATGGCGAGCCAGTGGAGCCGGGCAAGGGTGGGGGTGATAGGGTCATGGAGCCTTGTGCAGGATAGGACATGAGCTGTAGCGTTCTGGATGATCTGCAGCTTGTGGAGCGAAGAGTTGGGGAGGCCGACAAGGTGGGAGTTTCCATAGTTGAGCCTTGAGATGACGAATGAGTATGTGAAGGTTTTGGCAGCCTGAGGGGTGAGGCAGTGGCGGAGCCGAGCAATATTGCAGAGGTGGGGAAGCCAGAGCAGGTCAAGGCACGGATGTGGGGGAGAAAGGGCAGTTGAGGGTCAAACAAGATGCCCAGGTTCCTGCCTGGCTTGGTGAGGTGGAGTGTGCAAGTGTGGATGCTGATGTTGCCAGTGCCTGAGGTACTGGCACGAGCCGAATAGGAGCGTCTCAGCCTTGCTGACATTCAGCTGTAGAAAGTTGGCTCTCATCCAGGAC